GATCAAGCAACCATTTGCCTACGATACATATATAATGGTAAAATAACAAAGGCTTTTTGCACTTACAAAAGCTACGAACTCTTCTGGAAAAGGATTTTTTGATATCTTGAGTGAATGCTTCTTAAAACATGGAATTTAAATGAGAAATATAATTGGAGAATCATTTGATGGTGCTGCAAATATGCGGGGGGAATTTGTTGGGTTGCAAGCTCTTATTAGACAAGAGGCTCCAGGTAGCTTGTATATTTGGTGTTATAGTCACATATTAAATCTCTGTATATGTGATTCATGCGATAATATTGAAGGCAAGATTTTATTTGGATTATTGAACAGACTAGCAACTTTCTTTGGTGAATCATATAAAAGGATGGACGCTTGGGTGAAACAGAATAACTCAACTGGCCAAAATAAACTGAGAAGGCTGCAAAAAATAGATGAGACAAGGTGGTGGGCACGTGAAAAAGCCCTTAAATGGATATATGGCAAAGAGAGCTTACTACCAATAACGATAAGTGCACTTCGATTTATAATAGATAATAAATCATTTGAGGCAAAAACCTCATCAGAAGCGCAGTCGTTGATAGATAATTTATGTAAATTTAAGACTTTTAGTACAGCTGTAATATATTTAGAAATTTTTGAAATAATGGGGCCATTGTCATTGTATCTTCAAACCAAAAATTTAGATATTTTGTCGGCATGGAAGATGATAGAAGATGCTAAGTCTTCTGTGTCATCGATAACTATTACATCAATTCAAAATAAAGCAATAAAAATGGCTTCTGATTTAAATGAAACACTTTCATATTTAAAGCTTCCGGAGAGTATCTGTGTACAGACTGCTCTGCCAAAAATTCGAATAGGACGAGCAAAGAGAATATATAGTGATGAAGGCCAGGATGAACGTCCTCAAGAATCGATTAGGGTTGAAGTATTTCGTCCTATAATAGATCAAATTATAAACAGTTTGTCGGAACGCTTTTCTGCTAATAGAGAGCTTATTTTGAATGTGCGATATTTGCATCCAAGGCATTTTGATGACATAAATAGTAAAGGTATTTCTGAAATGGCCTTGGAAAAACTGGCGCAATTGGCAAATATATCGAGTGATAAATTACATAACGAATTGTGTTCATTTTCTAGTGTATTCAAAGATTTAATAGCAGAATTAAATTAAACGGACGATGATATCTTATGCACAAGTGAGGAGTCGAATGAAGAAGATGGAATACTACAATATGATAATAACTCGAAGTGTGATAAATGTAACAATTGTTTAATATGCGTGTATGAAATTCTTAAGAGGTACAATATGCATACACTAATTTATTTTTGGCGTACGAATACATTTTAACTTTATCATTTACGCAGGTTAGCGAGAGAACATTTAGCAATTTGAAAATTATAAAAAATAGGCTGAGAGCTAATATAGGCCAAGAAAAATTAGAAGCGTTTTTAATGATGTCAGTTGAACGAGAACTATTATCGCAGATTGAAATAGAAGATATTCTTGTTTATTTACGCAAAGGTTCAAAGTTAATGAGAGATTTATTAACATAAAAATTATATATTATTAATTCATTTATTTAAATCTTATTTATATCTATTACAATATGATCTCTAATTTTATAAGTGCAACAATTTTATTCTCTGTGCAATATTGTATAATTGTTATAATTTTATATGTGTAAATAATTGATTTTATATATTAAGTATGTAATATATTATATTTAACATGTGATGTATGATTTGATTTTATAGTGCAATATCCTTGTAAATCTAATATAAAATATATATGTGCAATGAATATTTTTTTATATGTGCAATAAATATTTTTTTATGTGTTCAATGAATATGATTTTGGATATGCAATAAATATTTTTTTATGTGTTCAATGAATATGATTTTGGATGTGCAATTTTTTAAAATAAAATATATGATTATCGTGTCATTATTCTTTTCTTTTTTTAAAATGTAAATTGTTTGAACCTATAAAAAATAACAAGTAATAAAAATATATAATTTAAAGAAGCCATTTAAGGGAACCCGGCCGAAGGCCGGGCAAAAGCGGGCCGAAGGCCCGCAAAATAGGGGGTATGGGGGCGAAGCCCCCATAAAAATGAGGCCGCTATAAAAAAATGCCCACGAGGCCGTAACGTCGCCAGTCCGCCCCTGGATGCACAGTCTTCTGACATATATTTTGAAAATTATCACAAATTAACTAATTTAAATCTAGAATCATTAAATAACTATTTTTCTGGCTGGCATCATATCAGATATGAATGGTCCGATGCTTGGAAAATATATCATTTAAACTTTAAACAATATACAAATAACAGGGTAGAGAGCATTAACAAATATTTAAAAATTAACATAACCAAATACTCTACCCTTCCAAATATGTTTACTGATTTAATTATGTCAATTAAAATGTTAAGTGCTGAAAGGGAACAAGATAATTTAATGAAAAAAATTAAAATCTCATTTATAAATGAGGAAGATCAAACATTGGCTAATTATAGAAAATTGTTAACAGAATATGCATACAAAGAGTTAAAATATGAATATAATGTTGATGATAACTGCAATCTTATTTGCCAATCAGATATGTTTTATTGTGATTGCCCCTTTTTTTAAAATATGCAATTACCATGCAGACATGTATTTATGGATAGGAAAAAAATAAAAGTGATCTTTACAATGAAAAATTATGTCATCAAAGGTGGCACAAAAATTATTTTAAAAATCCATCGACATTTATCAATAATAATAATATAGATATAATAAATAACAAAAAAGGGATTAAATACAAAAAAACCTTTTTAATGACCAAATTTCATCCCATAATTATTTTAAAAATCAAAATATGCTTTTTCACACCATATCATTATTACCACCTAATTTGAAACATGGGTTTGCTCAGGCTTTTGACAAACTACATGATTTTGCTATGAAAGGAATATTACCAATTATATCCTCAAATAATTTCAATACAAGCTCAAATGAAAATAATTGTCAGATATTCTCCAATAATAGTATAGCAAATGTATTTAATGGGGATCTTACACACTCAAACGTGGATCCTAATATACAGTAAAATAAAAATAATGTCCCAATTTTTTTAAAAAAAAGATGTTTATAATAGTCAAGAAAATGAATGTATAAATAATATCATAAAAGAATATCAATTACCTAAGAAATTAAATAAAAGCGGGAGACCATTAGGATTTACAATATTGGATTCACAAAAAAGTACATTGACTTTATTTATTGTTAATAGTATATTATATAGAAAAGGCATACAAATCCAAAGAAAATCAAATAGATAAAAAGTTAAACAAGGCCTTAATTCCCACAACTTTGTTGACCCAAAAAAAGTTCATACCAAAAGTTAATTGTTGATAAAGACAAATTTTTATACTTTTTTAGATTATAAAAAATCTTCTTTACACCTTTTGAAGGATCTTCAAGTGGACTTAGTAGACTTTGTATACTCAGACTCAAAGTTCAAAAATTGTAATTTTATAATTATATACAATTAATTGTAATTCTTAAATATCATGATTAATTTATTTTTTTAAATATTTAAAGCCATAGATGACCCACTCGTTAAAATCATTCAACATACATTTAAACATTTTTATAATCCAACTACCAATATTTGGAGGAAATATCATGCTACTGGCTTAAATTTAGCGTCAGCAAAAAGAAAGTCTCTCAAATTATAGGAAGGGTGCTAACTGCTCCATCACGATTGGAAACAATTGAGCTAGATGGGAATTGTTTTTACCGGTAATTTAAAAATTTTAAAATAATTTTGGTTGTATTTTTTTTCACTAATATACATAGAATATGGTTTTGTTTCTTTCTTTACCTTAAATTTTAATGATTATATCATATATTAATTCATAATATGATTTTTTTTAAAACATTGATAGGTTTTTAGAAACAGTAACATAATTAAATTTTTTTTTTATGGTTTTTTTTTAAATTTTTTATTTTTGCCTATAAATTTTTTATGGTAAAATATAGGAATTATTAATTCCGCATATTTAAGTTATATTTAGGAGAATTTTGCATACAAATTTAATTTTTTTTGTGGTAAAATATTTAAGTTATTTTTTGCAGAATTTTGCATACAAATTTAATTTTTTTTTTGTGATAAAATATTTAAGTTATTTTTAGGAGAATTTTGCCTACAAATTTAATTTTTTATTTAAATCTAAAATTTTTTATTAATTTTGTATTAGGGATAAAATAGACCCCACCTTTGAAGTTTAAGTGATTTTTAACATTTCTAGTGAAGGGTTAAATCGAAATATAGTATTAAATGACGCAATTAAATATAGTATTAAAATTTATACACGAAATATAGTATTAAATACTCAATTTTATTCATTAAATTGAAATATATTATTGAAGTTAATACAATCATTTATAAAATGAATAAAATTGTCAAATCATAAATTTTTAAAATTAAATTAATTTAGGCAAATTAATTAAGAACATTATGGGAGCTCATTAAGAGAAATTTATTTTTTAAACTCTATTTAAAAAAATAATATCAAGAGATATAATTTATAAATTTCAACAAATTCAATAAAAAAATTTATATAAAAAATGAGTAATTGTTTGTAAATTTGAAGCTTGCTAGGGATTGTTGTGTGTCAATTTTATAGAATAAGTCATCACAAGGTAAGATCTTTAATGTTTTCCAAGTAACCTCTAAAATAAGACATACAATATAATTTATAAATTTCAACATAAATTCAATAAAAAAAATTATATAAAAATTAGCAATTGTTTGTAGATTTGAAGCTTGTTGGGGATTGTTGTGTGTCAATTTTATAGAATAAGTCATCACAAGGTAAGAACTTTAATGTTTCCAAGTAACCTTTAAAATAAGACATTCAATATAATTTATAAATTTCAACATAAATTCAATAAAAAAATTTATATAAAAAATGAGTAATTGTTTGTAAATTTGAAGCTTGCTAGGGATTGTTGTGTGTCAATTTTATAGAATAAGTCATCACAAGGTAAGATTTATTCTTTTCTCAATCATTCTAAATTTCCTAATTCATAGCCATCTTAAGATTTATGTAATTTAAATTTTCATATTGCTTTATAACATCTTGTAAATCTTTATAAAAATATATCTCCTTCTTTCATATTTAAAAGAAGAGTGTTTAAATCTATTAAATATATTTATAAATTTGTCTATATCAACAATTTACCTTTGGTATGAACTATTTTTGAGTCAACTAAATATTAGGAAATAAGTAAGGTATTACTATGGTAGTACTTTTAGGTGACATTCTAAAATCAGATATATAAAGATCTATGTAATTTAAATTTTCATATTGCTTTATAGCATCTTGTAAATCTTTATAAGATAAAAATATATCTCCTTCTTTCATATTTAAAAGAAGAGTTTTTAAATCTATTAAATACGTTTATAAATTTGTCTATATCAACAATTTACCTTTGGTATGAACTATTTTTGAGTCAACTAAATATTGGGAAATAAGTAAGGTGTTACTATGGTAGTACTTATTGGTGAAATTTTAAAATCTGATATATAAAGATTTATGCAATTTAAATTTTCATATTGCTTTATAGCATCTTGTAAATCTTTATAGGATAAAAATATATCTCCTTCTTACATATTTAAAAGAAGAGTTTTTAAATCTATTAAAAAGGTTTATAATTGTCTATATCAACAATTTACCTTTGGTATGAACTATTTTTGAATCAACTAAATATTGGGAAATAAGTAAGGTATTACTATGGTAGTACTTTTTGGTGACATTCTAAAATCTGATATATAAAGATTTATGTATTTTAAATTTTAATATTGCTTTATAGTTTACTAAATTTCGTTCACGATATTATTTACACATCCATTTTATTATAAATACAAATTTTAAATAATTCGTTAAATTTTCGTAACTTTTTTATCGATTCGGAAAATGCGTATAAATAAGAAAAAATATAACTTTTATTTCTTTGCTAATACGCCATTTGGCGTAAGTCTATCATCTCCCCAATATTCCACAAAAAAGGGTGATAAAGTAATTGTTGATTTTATTATTGACACAGTTCAGCCATTGTCCCCATCATTTACTATGATGATTAAAACTTTATCCCCTGGCACAACAGTTTTATGTCGCCAGA